AAATAGTCAGTTTTAGGTAAAAATAGTCTTTTTACCTAACGTCGTCTGCACAAGAGTTCTACACACTTGAAGCGGCAATAGTAAATTAGGCTCATTGTGTGTTAGCTCATTAATCTGAATTCGATATGATGACGAATTTTCCTGATTATCCTTCTGAAAAACTCTTCTGCGTTCTTCGACTTTTCTAATCAGTTCACTACGAAAACCTTCGAAAACCTCTAATGGATCTCTTCTGGTAGCATATCCAAGGTTTTCCAACCGTTAAGTAGAACTGACCGAAAAGTGGTGCCGTATATGTAACCTTTCAACTTCAGTGAAACGCCACGTTGTTGCTTAAGGTATTTCAGTTCTTCGCACGTTGCTAAAGCCTCGGAAACTTCTGCGGTTATCTTCTTCCACCGTCATCGGTCACGCAACTACTTATACAGGAGACAATGAAATTCATCCACATCCTGCCCATCTAGTTTCAAAGCGAGACTAGTGAACACCCACTATTGCGTGATCTCTTCGCACTTTGAAGATGCGAAGAGCATAATGAAATAGCAACTTTTTTGTCTGTCAAGTGCGCTTTGCGCTTACTTCGTACATTCAATCAGGTAATCGATGTCTTCAACGTACTGGAAATCGCACAGCTTTTCTCCAGCTGCTCGCTCCATACTGTCATTTTGTAGACCACTTAGTGTGCTCTTTAGTATTCCGTCTACGACAAAATTGAACAGGGTTGGCAAAATAAGGCCTCCCTGATGAACACCGCTGCTGGTTTCGAACGCTTTTAGCTCATAGTGACCCTCGCGCTACCAGAAGTATACGAGTACATTGATCTGTTAGCTTTCCTCAGCATACGAATTCCAGTTCAAATTGATGGTGAATCACACTACTTGGGCATGATAATCTATTTTGTTTCTTCTCTGTGACATTTTGTACAGGTTGTGTATACATTCGTTGATCGCCAAAGAGTTCAGTTTTTATAACTGTAGTCCATAGTCAAGAATCAATTTTATTCGCGATACAAGGTCAAGGTTCATTCAGTACTGATCAAGCTGTTTTTGCCCTAAGATGAAGCATAAAAATGTCAAATATATGGATGCTTGCAAATGGGCGTTCCAATCTTGTTACCTTCACACGTTTTGTCGTTTATTCGTATCCGAGTGCGAATAGTCATCAATATGCATGCTTTTCATATCAACCAACACTTTTAATCATGGCGACATTAAGAAATCCAGGCTTTAGAGATCGAGCTTGTACCAAGCGTAGAGTGACTAAGAACATTATGAAAAAGCTTCATTTTCTACATGTCGTCCCTGGTATTTATATCCAATGCTGGATTCCGTAAGAAGGAATGTGTTTTGGCCAAGCAGAAGAGCAGGAACACAATTGCGAGGAATCTCTTTGTTTTGTGGGCGTGGAATTGTGCTTCCAAACAAAAATAAGGCAATGCGCCTGACATCACACGTAATTGGTAGCACTAGTTATGCCGCTTATTTTGTTCAGGATGCATATTTTGCCTTTATGTGCTGTCATTTGCTCCTGTTTTCTAATTTAGTACGGTAGCGATACGATTATAGATTGGTTCGTTGCAATCCAAGTACTTTTTTGGTATGATCAGAGCATGTGCTTTCAGATGCAATGCCATATATATCAGTGCTTGTAATTATTATTATTATTATTATTAATCATGTTCCATTTTTACTCGCATTTGAAGGCGAAGTATGTCTCGGCACAAAAGCAAGAGTAAGCAGCTCTTGCATGTGCTATTTAAACGTAGAGATTCTAACTGTTTACTTTATTAATCATTTTTTGTTTAGGAATGCAATCGGTTCTCCGAACAACCAAATAATCCACCACAAAGAAAATGTCCTGCTATATGGTTCGCCTTGGGTGAACTTAACTATTCCCCTGCCTTATTCAACCTCGGGGTATGGTACGAACTTCGGGCAGCGGCATGTTCAGATGCTGACTCTGCCGTCAAAATGAAATATCAGTCTAAAGCGGAGGAACGGTACAAACAAGCTGTTCTCACGGACAATCATCCAATTGCTGCTTACAATCTGGCTTGTCTGTTGCTTCGAACGGGTCGAAGAGAAGTACAGGTTGGAGATCACAAAGAATCTGTCACTCACCTAATGCAAATTGCAGCCGATTCTGGTGTTGAGTTGGTAAGCTACAGTAATTTGCTTTGCGTCAGAAATCTAAAATTAATGTCCCAACGAGCTAACGACTGCTCAGAAGTTTCGTTTCCGAACTTGCTGTTTGTATTTAGCCAACCTCATTTTTCGCTGGACCACCTGAGGTAAACACGTTTCTGTGGCACACAAATGGTGTAGGTGTTCGTCATTTAGTTTATTTTTTTGCGTAATTTGACCAATCCTGGTCATTTCCAAAAATCCTATGATGACCAGACTGCATCTTGACGTCAAGGGATCGATTACGTGCCTCCATGACCCTTCGAGCTATACAGGATGAAAGGTTGAAGTCGCATATCCAATAATACCTGAAATGTCAATGGATAACGGCCAGAAAAAGCCCACTGTCACAAGATCAGTTAATTGGTCACCGCCTGGCTTCCTATTCTCGCCCTTGGAGATATCAATCTAGCAAGTAAACAATGAGAGGAGCAGTTCGCCGGTCAAAACTCCCCGCTAGATGGGCGTGGGAGCGATTTTCATGGAGCTTCCTCTGGACGTGCTAGAAGTTCTCGCACTGCGTTGGATAGCCGCAACCCACCAGAGGTGGACATACCTCGACCAATAAAGTAGTGCTCTTCTCACGTTCCACCATTCTCATTCATTGTATGTGGCTAAGGGATGATCCTGAGCAGTGAACCATCAATCTACGCACCAGTGAACAACACACTGAGAATAACTCGCGAGAGGCCTTGCGTGACAAGTCTTCAGATGCTGCCACACGGAAGCTTTGGCTAAGCACCCTAGTTGGATCTACGCCTCACTGCCATGTAGATCAGACTTTTAATTCGAAGGCTGCTATTAAGGTTCCCAAAGAAATACCCGTACATTTCCGTTGCCTAGCGGGTCAGTCAGGGTTCCCCAAGAAAAAATAGCCGTCGATTTAGGCTACCGCGAAGTATGTAGTGCCCCAGAGTCTCTCTCATTCATTTGGAAAACCCTCTTTCTCATATGTCAGAAGCCGTTGGGTTGGTGTAATGCAAATCTCGTCTCCCTTAGCCTTAGATGGTCAGCAAGCTACCTTCGCTGGAACCCTTTAAAACTTTGAAAACGCTCATACAAGAAAATACTTCGGTTATCGTTTTGCCTTCTACAGTTCCAGTCTCATCCTGACGCCCCACTCATCTTTTCAGGTGATTTGGCACCCGATACTTAGTGTTGAGGCTTCACTAAGTGTCAAGGTTGTGATTTCGATTGTTGACTGGAGTCCAATTAATAGCAGCCTGTGCATTCTATGTTCCACAGGTTCAGTACTCGTCAGCTCCATAACGAAGCGTCAGCACCTATCGGTTGTGCCCAAAGGCATTCACTAATCGCGGCGTACCTGAAATACAGGATGATCTATTCAGTGACCTCTCTCGACTAGTCCAGAATGTTCACTCAAAGAACATCGTACTATTATCTGGTGACTTCAATGCCCAAGTGAGATGCCTAGACAAATCGAAGAGGTGCGTAGGCGACCCACATTCACTCTCGGTCAACCGGACAGATAACGGAGATCATCCTCTTCATCTTTGCGCGGATCACCAACTTCTTCCACAAGAAATGATATTGTCTTGCATCGAAACCCCTGACTCCTCTCGGCGGTAGATTCAAATGGACGACCATTCAAGCCTGTCGATTTCACCGCTCGA